CCCCCCCACCCCTTCTCCTAAAACCTTCGAATCCTTCTTTATTAATTATTTATTTATATACCCCATACTGCAGGTTTTTTTGAAAAGTTTAAAAACAGTTTTTTCTTTTTCTCTTTATTGATGCTTTCACAGATACTTTAATATCCTGAAGTTTGTATAGGATATATAGTCCTATATTTAAATTTACCATTAAAAAAACTTGTTATGTCATGGCAAAATAAGAAAACGTTTATTATTCGAAATCAAAGTGAGTTCATACTTTCTTATAAACCAGAAAATTCGTGTAAGTCCATCGACAACTTGATTAAAAAACTTAAATTGAGACGATTCTTTTCGCCGTAATAACATTCGGCAGATCGAGATAGAAATGCGAAACGTCTATACAATTCTATAAAAGGTTGGAATGAATATTCTATTCTTCTTATAATATTGACAAGTTTTGAAATGTCTGACATATGAATAGAAAACATTATAAGCACTTTATTTCAATTTTGAAAATATTCAAATAATTTCAAATTTGAAATATTGTGCAAATATTTTAAAACGATGAGGAACAAATTCACTCAAAATGTTTCTGTAAAATGTTCATACAGTTTTAGATTATTTTTATCCTCTAACATGCATGTACATTGTACAATGAATTCGGAAGAAAAGAAAAAAATTGTACTTGAAACACAGCAAACTTTAAAAGACGGAAAACAGGTCAAAAAAGAAAAACATAAAACAGTAAAAAAAATAGGAAAAACTCAACCTATTTTTTTTTAATCTAGATTTTTTTTCATATTTTGTTAATGCTTCCTTAAATGATTAGTTATATATTGTATAAAATATACCTAACAAAACGCCAGAGAGAAGAACAATAACAACGAAAAACCTAAAAATCTCATTGTTAGTTGTATACACTTTCATTAAGAAATATTTATTATCTTTTATATTTTTTTTACACAATGAAAATCTTAAAGTTTAATATTTAATTTTATTCTGATCTTGATGGTTAAAAGATCAAGAAATGTTTCTTGAACTTTAAAGGTTTTTGAACTTTTAGAAGGTATGCACGCATACATTTCAAAACTATATAAATTTAAAAGTTTGCTTTTGTAGTGACGTGTGCAGTCCCTTTAAATGACGTGTACAGTTCCTTTAAATGACGTGTACAGTCCCTTTAAATGACGTGTACAGTCCCTTTAAATGACTTGTGCAGTCCCTTTTAAATGACGTGTACACTCCCTTTACATGACGTGTACAGTATCTTTAAATGACGTGTGCAGTCCTTTTAAATGACGCGTGTAGTCCCTTTAAATGACGCGTGCAGTACCTTTAAATGACGTGAGAAGTCCCTTTAAATGACGTGAGCAGTCCCTTTAANATAAAGATAATGTAAATATAATTAGTTAAGTTCTATATTCACCTATAAACTCCACAGTGTTCTCCCAGCAACAACCAGCTCGCTATCATAACAAGAACTGGAGAACTAATTAGGAATTAATAAAAACATGTATTCCCATTCCATGAACATTCCGATTTCAAAACTATTTATAAACTATTATTTATAATCAGACAACTATTATGAAAGCGTACAAATTTATCCAAAGTGGTTGAACTAGGAATGGATAGTACATCGAATTTCTTCTCTATTATGTTCAAAGTAGACTCATTATTCTATCATTTCTGACGATCTCTAGTGACTTCCTTAAACTACAAGTTTCTTTCGATTTTAGCGTTTTCATCACATATTAAGAGATTATTGTAATGTATTAAAAAAAGTAGGAAAAACAATGTTCTACTGAAAGAAACATTGTTAACTTCTAGTTATGAAAGTGTATGGTATGTTTGTATGTATAATCTATGAATATTGTATTAGTATGATTAATATGATTCTAGATAAGAATTTTTTAATAACAATCTAATATCGATTGTCAACGTACTTTTTAGTCACAATTAAAGGGAGTGTTCCCTTTTTTGAGAATACTACAATAGATAATCCTACCGATCAAAAATTAATGGCATTTTCTTTCAAAGTAATGAACGGATTTTTGCCAGAAAAAAAAACATAAAAATTGTTCATCTTCTTTTTATCTAAATGTTAAAGGTTTGAAGTTTATACTTTTCCATGAATTTATTTTACGAACCTGAATATAATGGTCGCTGCGTCGCCGACAGGCAGTCTGGAAAATATATTTTTGAGATATCGTTGAGATGACGAAGATGGTGTCGTTTTTCTTTCTTGACAAATGTTCAATTCTAACAAATTCCAAAATGTATCTGTAGCATTATAATGTATTTTCACAAAGAATCCACAAATGAGAAAATCTATTTTTAGAAAGAAAAATAAGTATTTTTCACTCAGCCTTTAGACAATAATTTAAAATTTTGTTATTCTTGCAAAATATATGTTCTCATGTTTTAACAAAGTTAAAAGTTAAAGTTAAAGTTAAAACGCTTTCGGTCATTTGATATTTTAGCGAAAAGCTTATCATAAACACCAAAATTAAATAAATCAAATCATGAAAATCAGAGTTTTTGACAAAAACTCCATGTTTTTGTCAAAAACTCTGATTTTCTGACCCCTATATATTTTTAACCAAATGCTATTGAACGTTGAATTTTCAAACTCTAAATTCTTGCAGCAGATCACTGAATCTAAGTTTGAAATAATAAAGATTTACACCATCAGATTACAAAGATATAGAGATTAGAAGATTCGAGTTTATGACAAAGACTCAATTCCTTTGTCATAGAAAATGTTTGCTCAAATTCCTAATTCTTGCAAATCCAAGTTTTCTATACCTTGCAAATCCAAGTTGTATATACCTTGAAAATCCAAGTTTTCTTTACCTTGAAAATCCAAGTAGTCTATACCTTGAAAATCCAAGTTTTCTGTACCTTGAAAATCCAAGTTTTCTATACCTTGAAAATCCAAGTTTTCTGTACCTTGAAAATCCAAGTTTTCTATACCTTGAAAATCCAAGTTTTCTATACCTTGAAAATCCAAGTTTTCTATACCTTGAAAATCCAAGTTTTCTATACCTTGAAAATCCAAGTTTTCTATACCTTGAAAATCCAAGTTTTCTATACCTTGAAAATCCAATAAAAATGCTGAGAACTGTTAAGCTCCCCACTAGACCATGAATCAGAATGTAAAATCTAAAAACCAAAATTTTAGAACATCGAGATATTTTAGATTTATATTAATATATAAATAAAATTTCAGTTTTCATTAGTTCTTTCTTAATTTTTGTTCTTGAAATATTGAAAATGACAAACGTTTTTTAAATAATTGAGAAAAAAAAATTAAACGGGAAAAAACTATGGATACCCCGCAACAATTGTAACTTAAAGGGACTGTAAGAGTAATTTCAAGTGACCCCCTATTAATGGAGTGTCATGTCCGGTTCACAACGGTTTAAGTTTAATGGGGAGTTTCAGAAAAGATACCGAAGACTTCAGGAGCAAATCTCAAAGTCTATGATTATTTCATATATGTATACAACCTGTTAGCTCGGATTGCTTTCATATCCAGGTTTACAAGAGCTAGGATGGGAAGAATTAAAACAAACTGAACTGTGGCACGTGCTAAAATATTAAACAATATTTTACAAAACTTTAAGAAAACTGTATCATATAGAGTTGGATTTGGAAAAATAAAAAAAGGTTTTTAATTTTTAAGTTGTGCTGTACTATTTCGATACATTATTATTAGAGAGTATTTACAACAAAAAATATAAGCAAAATTTTTAAAAAAATATAAAATAATTAAATGTATATATATGATGCCTTATCGGAGTGAGAAAGGGATATATGTCTAGGATGTCTAGATATTTTAAAAAACTGGTTTCATCTTTAACATTGTCAAAAATGTACAGGTTTTTCTGTTTAGAAATTTTTAAAATGTAAATTGCGACATATTTATATTTTAAAAGTCACTGTGGGTACAATATATTAAACCATACTTTTGAGAAGAAGAATAAAAAAGCCTAGGTTTAACCCTATTAACCATATTGAAGGGGGGGGGAGTGTTTTCCTTTCCCCCCCTTGTGGTTTTTTCTAAATAACTTAAAATTTTCCGACTTCATAGTTTTGAACAAATTTTACTGATTCTTGTTTTGATGCGTAGGGTGGGTTGGATTTAGTCGGTTTTTCAAAAAAATTAGAAATGGTTAATAACCTTTTTTGTAAAAAAAGCGACAGGGATAAAATTTATATACTTGAAATACCCTTGAAAAATGGATGTTATTGCAAATATTTGTCAAAAGTAAAAATCTTTATTTTTGAACATTTTTCCGACATACTTTTTGAATTTTTTGTTATATCCTCCATTACACCCTAACCATTGAAGAGGTCTGCTTTTTTGATGAGGCAGGCCTTGAAAAACTGGACATGTATAAAATAAGATTTCCCTATCTTAGCTCTAAGGGCAAAAAAACACCNGAGTAAATCCTATATTAAATGTAGAGTAAATCCAACATTAAATGTAGAGTAAAACCTATATTAAATGTAGAGTAAATCCTATATTAAATGTAGAGTAAATCCAACATTAAATGTAGAGTAAAACCTATATTAAATGTAGAGTAAATCCTATATTAAATGTAGAGTAAATCCAACATTAAATGTAGAGTAAAACCTATATTAAATGTAGAGTAAATCCTATATCAAATGTTAAGTAAATCCTACAAAAAAAACCTACAGTACTACACATATGCATAAAATGTATACTATATAATGTAGTAATTTTAATGTGCAATAAATAGTATGATATTATATCAAAAGCCATAATTGAAAATACATTATACATTCCTTTATAATATGCTGGTTTTTTTTTGGTATTCAACAATTTTCATTGATTTTAGAATCTTGTAAATTTAAAAACTTATTTGAGATGTCCATATTTAAACAAACTCTTTGCAAATAAGTGTCATTTATTCCGAAAAAAAATCTAATCAACGGAAAATTAAACTCAAGGTTCTCTCATTGAATTTCTAATATTTCTGAGAATATATGAAAATGAAAATTGCATTTTGATTGAAAATTGAAAATAATCAAATATAATTTAACAAAGGTTCAATAATGACTCTGTTTCTAAATAATAGAGATATCATTGAATTTTGTTGAAAAATATATAGATTAAATTGAGTTTAATTCAAATTAGTTTCATAATATTGCGCGCATTGATAGAGTTGGATATTGTTTGTATCTTTTTTTAGGTTTCCAAGGAATTTAGGCTTTTAGGAAGCTTCCTAAAAATCTACGAAGTTTTGCGTGATTCAAAATTTAATTTTCAGCAGCTTTTCTTTATGAAATTATGAAAAAGAGTGATGTAAAAGCCGAACGAAGCAAAATCAATCGTTGATTAACGAGCGATTTAAAAAATCTTTTAAGGAAAAATATGTCCTGCTAGATCAAATAATATTTAAATATCAAATGTTTTCATAATAAGATTGCAATGATATAGGGATTAGACCATTTTAGTTTGTGGCGAAGATTGCAAGCGCGCTATTTTCACGCTATTTAAAAGCTGTGAACGAAAATTATATTCGTTATTAAGTTTGATGTTAAGGGAAGGTTTCTGAAAAATAAAGTTATTATTGGAAATTAGGATTTAATATAATTGATACTTTTTTATGTGTATAACACGTGACTACTAACTGACAAGAAATTAGAGAGCTAATTTAGATTATAGAAGCATCTCAACCGCTGAATACAGTCCATCTGTACGTTTTTCGATATTTCATGGGATTGTATGATTTAAGGCTTTTTTATTTTTACCTTTAGAAAAAAAATGTGTTTTGCTTGTTTTTTAGAGATTTTATAATATTTTGAAAGCCATGTTTTTATTTAGAAACAACTCTCTTGGGAACCCAGCGCTGCCAAAGTTATAAAAAGTTATTCCCGCCATTTACCCGCACTTGAATGATTTTTCCCGAGAAACTAAATTTTCGCTATTAAACTAAATTTTCAACATGAAAGTGCACCCAATCTTGACTTAGAATCTCAAAACCAAGCTAATAACATTCCCTTGGGTATTCCGAGTTACCCATCAAAGTTTGAGGCAAATAGGTCCAGGGGTTCCTGAGTTATGATCGGACAAACAAAGACACAGACAGAGATTAAAACTTCATATATATAAAAAGAAAAAAATTATGAAAAAGATTATTTAAAACTGATTTTAAAATTTAATAATAATTAATAAAAGTTAAATTTATCGCATCAAAGAAAACTAGCACGGGTGCAAGATAAATTTAAGATTTGTCATCAAAAAAGTGCATGGTAGTTTCACGCTTGATTAAATATTTTTAATAAAATTGTATGTATCTAGAATATTTACCTCACATAATATTTAGAGGGTCCAAACTAGAATATTTACCTAGCATAATATTTACAGGGTCCAAACTAGAATATTTACCTAGCATAATATTTAGAGGGTCCAAACTAGAATATTTACCTACCATAATATTTACAGGGTCCAGACTAGAATATTTACCTAACATAATATTAGAGGGTCCAAACTAGAATATTTACCTAGCATAATATCTACAGGGTCCAAACTAGAATATTTACCTATCATAATATTTAGAGGGTCCAAACTAGAATATTTACCTAGCATAATATTTACAGGGTCCAAACTATAATATTTACCTAATATAATATTTAGAGGGTCCAAACTAGAATAATTACCTAACATAATATTTACAGGGTCCAAACTATAATATTTACCTAGCATAATATTTACAGGGTCCAAACTATAATATTTACCTAACATAATATTTAGAGGGTCCAAACTAGAATATTTACAGGGTCCAAACTAGAATATTTACCTAACATAATATTTAGAGGGTCCAAACTTTTCACAAGCTTTACGGTTACAGAGCACAGTGTAAAGAAAACTCCTAAGACCCCAGAATACAATTTTATTATTTTTTAAATCAGGAAAATGATAAACCTTACGTTGTCGTAGGAAATTTTGTATTTAATTGCTTCACAGCTGACATAAATAAAGTGTGTTATATTTCTAATTGTGTTAAGAGAGGGAGCGATTAAAACATTAAAAACAGAATGGAACATACAAAATTCAACACTTTTGTGGTGTCAATCTTGGAATAATCTTAATCTTATGGAGACCTACGGATTAGTTTAATCCCTTTTTATGTACACTTGTGGTTATACTCTGAGCTGAAAACTTAAGAATGAGATATCCTTAATCCCGATTACTTAATCTGAGTATCCAATGGACACACTTTTGATTTACTTCTTAACCATTCTTTCTTGAATAAAGTAGAGAAATATCAAAAACCGGGTTTTCTAAATTAGAGAGTTCCTGCCATTTCTGTATATAATCTGAAATTGCGCGCAAAATTTCAAATATACGCGACTCTGATTGGTTGAATTTTATACACTTTTCAGGATACAAGTACAAGATTAGATTAGTCTCGATATTAAGAAAAAGAGAGGATCACGCATTAATCTCGATATCCACCATTCTAAAGTTTTCAGCTCTGAAGGGATAACTGTATTCGAGGGATCTAGCATTTATCCTCAACTTTAAAAGCGCCCACATTGGAAATCAATATAAAGCGTTCAAGATTACTGATACTCTACACAAAAATTTCGATCTCAGGACAGTCTTAGTGAAATGACATCTGTAATTTTTAAAACCTATATAACCTTGCAGGGGACAGAGTCCTGTCCCCAAAGCCCCCCACCTTTTATTAATCATCTCTTAATGTATCTTCTGCATAAAATAAAACATTGAATAAACGTTTCTATGATTAAAAAGAAAAAATAAGAAAGTAAGAAAAGATATACGTTAAAATTACAAAAGAAAGAAAGTGAATGACCATAGGTGAAAACTTTTGCGTGAAATAGCTCTAAACGTTTAACTTGATCCATACGTGCTTGATATAGTCATAACTTTGAATTTAAGATTTAAATCTTAGTAAGGTTAGCTGCAGTTGTTACTTGTTAATCAATGAAATATAGTTAAATTAATTAAAGATTGGTTAATTCATTGAAAAGAAATTAATTTATCTCCTTTCTTTGTTCTAAAATTATCCCAACATATATTTTAAAGTCAGGAGAGAGGGTCTGAAATTACAGCAATATTATGAAGTTTTGATAAATAATTGATCCCTGAAACTGCGGCTAACAGAACTCCAATAACCTAAAAAGGGGTTTACTTTGATAAATGAAATTCATAACATTGTATCACTATAAAAATTGATTTAAACATTTATATTAAAATGACATGGTTTGTATTTATAATTTCTAAATTTGATTTACAACTGAATAAGATTGGATGAAGAACTCGATTAAATAAATTTTTAATTCTGACTTTTGATTGTAAAATCCTTGACCTCTTATTAGTGCCAGAAATTCATAAATGTATTTTGAGCTCTTCTCATATTTTTGACAAAAATAATTTTGATTTGTAGGAATTGAAACATCGTCTACACTCTTGTTCACAGCTACTCCAGGGTTTAGCAGGGGAGGGGGGGATGATGGGAGGGGTATACTAACCTTTGAACATCGTCTACACTCTTGTTCACAGCTACTCCAGGGTTTAGCTGTCTCCCTGTTCCCCTCTTCTTTATCTAGACTTACTATACAAGATAATCTTTCATGTAAATCTGATTAAATTCTGAAAATTTCTTTTTTAAATTATCAATTTTAGTTTTTAAGAAGCCAGTTCCTAAGTAGTTATATTCCAAATCTTGAAATCCAATCAACTTCTCCAAACATCGTTCTAAAAAATCAATAATTAAAGGGTCTGCTTATTATTTTTACTAACCCTGCCTAGAGCGTCGTGGCCGGTGCAACAACAGTATCCATCTAACCCTTTTCTGATCAAAACCATTATTTAGATATTCGAAAAATCGATTTTTTACAATTTGTTTTCTCTGGAGGAAAAGTGCAGATTTCAGCTAGAGAAGCAAAGGTAGAACTAAACTTATTTAAGAAAGAAAAACGACAATATCTTCTCCACTGTTGCTCAGATACAGGTGTAAGGGAATCGTTGTGAATCGTACATTCCACTTTATAAATTAGATATCACTTGAAACCGTGTCGTAAACTGCTTGGCTTGATTCTTCCGCTATTTTTTTCATGGTTTGCTTAGGTTTTTGTAAAACAAACCGAAGATTCAATTATAGTTCAAATCCTAGACTTTTTTAATTTATGATAATAAATTTAAGATTTAAGATAGAAAGATGCCAGATTAACATGAAGAAGTGTTGAATAGATTTCTCAGAAATAACGCGAGTATTGTGCAATTCCGAAAAAAAAATAATCTGATCAAGAAAGAAAGAAAAAAAATGTTTAACATGGATTAAAATATGTAAACTCGCTTTAAATATTAAGCTTAAAAACTAAGGCACGACTACACGAGACGTCGTTTTTTTCTGTGATTGAAAAACTTATGACAATCATGTGGAGGTATGGACTAATAACAATTACCATTCCTTCTAAACATTTCATTTAGAATTTCGTAATAATTTATACAACTGAAGCAATTTTGTAATTTTCACACATATATAAATTGAAAATGCAACAACTAATTATGTCAAACAAAACAAACCTAAAAAGGTACATAATATATTTATTCTTTGTTATCTGTATTCTGAAGCTAGTAGGATTTAATAAACTGCAAGAGGAAGTGGTGGAACTAAATATTGTCAGTTATTTACTTTGCACTTTGCACTTCTTCTTGCTTTATATCACACGCACCTCTGCCCCTTTAGTAAAAGTAAATTCATCATATATGAAGCATAAAGTCTGACCGCGCCAACCTTGTTGCACCGGCTGGTCCTGTTGATTGTCTGCTTTTTAAACCCAATGTCCGTGCGGTACAGAACAAACTGGGACAGGAAAGGTTGACCCGGCTCGGAAATTCAAATGATCAAATCTGAACTTTCTAAATTTGCCTTTACTAATATGAAAATGCCTGCCTTTTAATTTCTGGGTATTTGAGCCTGCCCCTCCTGATTTGGACATTTGTCTGAAAATAAAAAATAAAAAAAAGATAATTCCTTGTTAAGTAGGGATTGAAAGAGGTGTCTCGTCGTTTCAGTGTTTAATTCTAATTTCCAACCTACAATAAAAATAAATTGAGTAATTTAGTCGAAGCAGGGAACGTTTGTCTTGGATACTTTTTAAGCCGATCCACAGATCTTGATTTTATTTATGAGCCCTTTAAATTTGAATATAAAACCCATCTACCTTTCGATCAATGATTAAAGTAGGGGCATCCTACACTTTCTTGTAAATGCTAATTTTGAATTATAGATATTAAGACAACATAAAGATAATATAAATATTAAGACAACATAAAGATAATATAAATATTAAGACAACATAAAGATAATATAAATATTAAGACAACATAAAGATAATGTAAATATTAAGACAACACAAAGATAATGTAAATATTAAGACAACATAAAGATAATTTAAATATTAAGACAACATAAAGATAATGTAAATATTAAGACAACATAAAGAGAATATAAATATTAAGACAACATAAAGATAATGTAAATATTAAGACAACATAAAGATAATATAAATATTAAGACAACATAAAGATAATGTAAATATTAAGACAACATAAAGATAATGTAAATATTACGACAACATAAAGATAATGCAAATATTAAGACAACATCAAGATAATGTAAATATTAAGACAACATAAAGATAATGTAAATATTAAGACAACGAAAAACCTAGCTGTATATCGTGTGAATAAATTTTATATAAAAAAACTAAAATAACTGAAACTTTATCATCTTATTTCTGTTTCGGTAACAACCATCATTAATACCCTGTATTTTAATTTATCTCTACATAAAAATCCCTCTGATCTCACCCTGCCACAGATCACCCTACAATCTCCTTCCTTCCAATCAACTCCTTACCTATCCAAAAACATATCTTGATATGTGTAACCAATTATATTCAGTATCGTTAATTAACTTCGGGCCAACCACTCAAAACAACCAACCCTGGTTAGGCGGGTCCAAACTGCAGAGTAAATTGTGATTGCTTATTTGTAATATCTCAGGCTTTGTAGATGAATAAATATATGAATGAATGAATGAACATAAAGATAATGTAAATATTACGACAACATAAAGATAATGTAAATATTAAGACCACATAAAGATAATGTAAATATTACGACAACATCAAGATAATGTAAATATTAAGACAACATCAAGATAGTATACATATTTGTAAAATGATGAATGAAATCCAGCTCAAGGATTAAATAAAAAATCATTAGAATTGACTTTTCTTTGAATTCTGTTGAACGACAGCAAAATCTTTGCAAGGATGAAATTGAAAAGAAAATAATTAATTTTCTTAATAATTCTTTTCGTCGAGTATTCAACTTAATTCAGTCAAAACTCAGCAATTTGTTCCCCCTTAAAAAGACAAGTTGCGTTTACTTAAAGAGACAAGTTGCGTTTACTTAAAGAGACAAGTTGCGTTTACTTAAAGAGACAAGTTGCGTTTATTTAAAGAGACAAGTTGCGTTTACTTAAAGAGACAAGTTGCGTTTACTTAAAGAGACAAGTTGCGTTTACTTAAAGAGACAAGTTGCGTTTACTTAAAGAGACAAGTTGCGTTTATTTATCAGGTCAATCTGGTTCTGCTTTTTCCATACATTTTTAATTTTACATTTATACATTAGTTTTTTAACATATAAAGCAAAAATATCTGTTTGTTTGTATGTCCGATCATAACTCATGGTCCCCTTGACCGTTTGGCTCAAATTTGTAAAAAATATAAGGATTAGAAAATTAGAAAACTCTGTTTCTATGATGTTAACCCTGTGTTCTTTCTTTGTGGGTAACCCTGTATCTTTGTGGGTAACCTTGTATCTTTGTGGAAAACCTTGTATCTTTGTGGGTAACCTTGTATCTTTGTGGGTAACTTTGTGTTATTGTCGGTAACCATGTTGCAGATTCTTTTCCAGATTTGTCTGGACCCTCTCCGCAAAATATGCATTCTTTTCCTTCAACCACTAACTCGGCCTTTAAACTTTTAAGATGAGAGGTTCATTCTTGCGTAGATTATTTTATATTTAATATCTACATTTATTGACGGTTTTATTGTCACTGTCGACGAAAATAAAAAGGATTAGATTTGAAAACATATTAAGTTTCAAATGATACAAATGTGTTTAAGATAATCCTATTTAGTTTTTGCTCATTTTTTCCTCTTCAATCATCACAAGTGTATTTTTACAGCTTTGTTTCTTTCTTGTTAATCCTAAGTTTAAATTTAAGATTTTTAGATGTTCCACGTTCGCCACGGAGGGATTAAAGCGCCCTAGTGGAGTTCCTTTTTTACCGACATGTTCCACTCCCGCTCAGGGTAGGTTAAGGAATACATAGCTCAAGGTAGGTTTAGGAATACATAGCTAAGGATAGGTTTCAGCTCCAGCTCAGGGTTGGTTTATACTCCACCTCATGGTAGGTTTATACTCCAGCTCAGGGTAGGTTTAGGAATATATATACTTCAGCTCATGGGTAAGTTTAGGAATATATACACTCCAGCTCTGGGTAGGTTTAGTAATATATACACTCCAGCACAGGGTACGTTTTGGAATATATATACTCCAGCTCAGGATAGGTTTAGGAATATATACACTCCAGCTCAGCAGGGTGGGTTTAGGAATATAAACTCCAGCTGAGGGTAGGTTAAGGAATATATACACTCCAGCTCAGGGTATGTTTTGGAATATACATAATCGAGCTCAGGGTAGGTTTAGGAATATATATATATACACTCCAGCTCAGGGTAGGTTTAGGAATATATACACTCCAGCACAGGGTATATTTAGGAATATATACACTCCAGCTCAGGGTAGGTTTATGAATATATACACTCCAGCTCAGGGTAGGTTTAGGAATAAATACACTCCAGCTCAGGGTAGGTTTAGGAATATATACACTCCAGCTCAGGGTATGCTTTGGAATATATACACTCCAGCTCAGGGTAGGTTTGGGACTATATACACTCCATCTCAGGGTAGGTTTTGGAATATATACACTCCAGCTCAGGGTAGGTTTAGGAATATATACACTCCAGCTCAGGGTATGTTTTGGAATATATACACTCCAGCTCAGGGTATGTTTTGGAATATATACACTCCAGCTCAGGGTAGGTTTAGGAAAATATACACTCCAGCTCAGGGTAGGTTTTGGAATATATACACTCTAGCTCAGGGTATGTTTTGGAATATATATACTCCAGCTCAGGGTAGGTTTAGGAATATATATATATATGTACACTCCAGCTCAGGGTAGGTTTAGGAATATATACACTCCTGCTCAGGGTAGGTTTTGGAATATATATACTCCAGCTCAGGGTAGGTTTAGGAATATATATATATATATATACACTCCAGCTCAGGGTAGGTTTAGAAACAAATATGATCCAGCCTTGGGTAGATTTAGCAATACAAATATACTTTAGCTCAGGGTAGGAAAACAGAGTTTAACGACGTTAATTAAAGTTAGAGACGTAGTTATTGTGAATTTATTTAAATTTTGAGGGTTTGAAGCTCTAGTTAAAGAAGTGTTAAGTTTAAGTGTATGTATATGTTTACTTGTAGGTGGGAAGGTTGAATCTAAACAGTTTCCTGTTTCTCCTTCCCGTTCCCCTGTTCCAGGCTTCAAACCAACCTTTCCTGGAACCAGGCAGAGATGTGGCAGCCTTGCGGTCAGTATACAACCTTCCTCCTGACCTTAAAAGTGACCCTCCATGCAAAGATGACAATCCCTTATATATACAACTGTCTTATCAAATTTGATCTAGCTATCTGGTTTGGTTTTTGTTTCTCTAAACTGTTTACATTCATTTGCATGTTTTCTGCGAAATGTACTTGTGCATTTCTTGCTAATTAATAACAATTAAGAAATCATCAGAATTAAGCACATTTAAGTCAAAGAAAAGGTATCTCTCACATTTTTGATCATTGTAAGATTTCAAGGGAACCCTTAATTTTAAATCGGGCATTGCCATCTTTGCACGGAGGAGGGTCACTTGAAATAACGCTTACAATCCCAGTAATAATATTGACAAGTCCACATTTATACTTTGGAGACTATAATTCTCCTAATTATCCTTATTTAAGAAATCACCAAATAATTCTATTCGAACCTAATCAACGAAAGTTTATAATTGGAGTTCTAAAAAGTAATCAAAAAATTGAAGTCCCGTACAAAATGAATAAAGATTATATGTGAACGTGAAGTAATTAATCTGATTAAACAAAAACATAATGAAAAAATCCACGAACTGTGTATAATGCGCTTTTTAAAAATGAAATGAAACCATCAATTGTGTTTTAAATTTTTATTATAATTCTTTTGTTTAAATATGATTAATTATAATTATATACAGTTAAATTCATTTACATGTATACATCGGGAGAATTTATATAATGTAGCCTTGAATTTGAATTTGAAGCTGTCAGTTGTATCTTCCTAAGTTTTCTGTCAGAAGCTTAACAGGGATATATATAGTTCACTAAAGCATAATCAAAGTTTTTGTTTTGTTTTATTGAAAATAAAAGTTTTCTAAATTAAATTTTGTGAAGATAAAATAGCCCTGAAATACACGAAACATGCTATCCTAAACATTAGATAGTTGGGCGCAAGGGTGTAATGCAAGGAAAGTTAATTGCGGTCGTGCATACTCTGCGTACACATTGAAACCAGTTCTCTTTGGACGACATTTGTAAACAAGAATAGATGCATCAGTGTTCGTTTAGTATCCGAGGAGGTTAAAAGCATTAAATTTTGATAATTTTGATAATTCACATTATAATTTCCTATGACCAGAATATTTCATTGATTTTTTTTATGTGAAAGATGGATCCCATGTCAGGCTTTGACATCCGTCTTGTGTTTACATTACCGCCCAGAGACAGAACACTGCAGTACAAAAGATATGTACACTTCTGAAATAACTTTCCTTGCATTACATCCTTGGTTGGGCGCAACATAATCCTGTAACTCTCAGCGGCATATTTAAGTAAAAAGACGACATTTTATAAATTCTTCCGATGTGTTCAAATTAATGAGTTTAACTGTATATATTATGTATTTAAATTTAGCCTTTAATGTTTTATGAACTATCTGGCACAGAAAAAAATACTTATGTCCACATGGAACCAAATTTACATTTAAAATTTGTACAGTAGTTGAAGTCTAATCCTTTGTGGGTAACCCTGTAGATATTAAAATATGATGCTAAAGCCCCGCGGTTTATAACACAGTTTATAAATAATAAATAAAAATTGTTAAAGTCTCAAAATTTTCTATAACATTTTTGATTTTTATGTTTGCGCTTTACCCTCACGTGCTTCGTTAAACAACTTGAGCAACTAACAGGTCTAGGTACACTATCGGTTTATGTATAATTCATGATTTAAATTACAAGAACACCTGTTAACTTTATGATTTTAATATAGGATATATTAGAAAATAAATCTCAAAATAAATATTCATTTTCAAAATCTTGAACCTTTTTTTTTGTTTGGTTATACTAGACCTCACAAAAAACTAAAACAGTTTTTGTAACAGCAAAAGTTCTGCTTAATCTGTTGTTGCTACATTGAGATTTGATTCATGAGCTTGAATTTTGTTTTGTTCAAAAAGTCTTTAGCAATTTCGCGAACTATCCCTTTAAAATTTTTATTTTTAGGAGCCGCCCTTTAAATCTCAACAGAAGGTGCCGACCTGGGGTAATTCCCTGCAAACATTTTCAAGGTACCTAAACTATACCTTGCTTTAATACCTAAACTATACCTTGCTTTAATACCTAAACTATACCTTGCTTTAACACCTAAACTATACCTTGCTTTAATACCTAAACTATACCTTGCTTTAATACCTTGTAAAAGGCAGATTGCTTTTTTATTATTAATCTGATACAGAGTGCTCACCAGAATAAAAGTAAATTGAAAAGATGCATACCTAAACTTTTGTATGCCATGGCATTGGGACGGAAATATATTTCTATTTAATGTAACGATTTTTAAATATATTTATAGTTCAAAACTGTTTTTTTATGATTTTCACATTTTGAATTCTTAGTAACTAGGCTTTATCCCAACTATAAGACCTCTAAAATTGAAACTGTATAAATGCAAATGCTATTTTATTTTTAAAAACATTGTATGAATAATGTAAATATATCAGTTTTGAACATATTTGGTTTGTTTAGGAATTGCAACATCTTATCTAATACTTATATCCTTCCCTTGTCCTAGACTATAAATATTTCAAACTATGAATTCTGCTAAATCAGATAGTCAAAGTTTAATATAGCAAAGGTTAACACCAAGGAGTATGAAATTAAAGGGAGATGCAACTGACGCGGCCCGCCCTACCAAATGATTATACAATGCTTGGCAGACGGGTACTTCATTTGTATAAGAAATATTTAGAATAGGTTATTGTATACGCAGTTACATCAGACAAATATATTTTAATGAAATGAAGTACCGTCTGCAAAGCATGTATAATCATATGGTACGGCGGGGCCCGTCAGTTATATCTCCCTTCTATTTCATACTCCTTGGTTAACACCATCCAGCTGCAGATTTAGAGATTTGTAAATTTGAGTCAATTCCTTTTCTATTTAGATCTGAATCTATATCTGTTCCTGTTTCTCCCAATCTTCTTCGTTCACAGCTTCATTTCCCAACATTCAAGGAATTAATTTCAGATACATTAGCAATATTAGCAGTAATTGTAGCAATTTCAGGAATAATAATATTATACTAGCAGTAATAGTAGCAATAGTAGGAATAATAATATAATATTAGCAGTAATTGTAGCAATAACAGGAATAATGATATTATATTAGCAGTAATTGTATGCAATAACAGGAATAATAATATAATATTAGCAGTAATTGTAGCAATAGTAGGAATAATAATATAATATTAGCAGTAATTGTAGTAATAGCAGGAAAAATAATATTAACAGAAGCAGTACTAGTAGCAATAGCAGGAATAATAATATAATATTAGCAGTAATTGTAGCAATAGCAGGAATAATAATATAATATTAGCAGTAATTGTAGCAATAGCAGGAATAATAATATAATATTAGCAGTAACTGTAGCAGTAGCAGGAATAATAATATAATATTAGCAGTAATTGTAGCAATAGCAGGAATAATAATATTAGCAGTAATTGTAGCAATAGCAGGAATAATAATAATAATTAGCAGTAATTGTAGCAGTAGCAGGAATAATAATATAATATTAGCAGTAATTGTAGCAGTAGCAGGAATAATAATATTAGCAGTAGCAGTACTAGTAGCAGTAATGCTAGCATAAATGTATATAGCAGAGGTCATGAACTGTTGTGTTGTGAACCTCGGGATCAAGTTTACGGATCGATTTAATTTGTTTAATTTCTCGTGGTAATCGCACCATGAGGGATAACTAAAATTGAGGGATCAAGCACTTATTCTTGTATTTAAAAGTTGTCACAGTGGATATCGGGATCAAATGATGAAAAGTAGGAAGCCATGACAAAAGTCTTTTATTCAGTATGATATTTAGTATTGCTACAAATCTAAACTGCCCTGTATCATTAGTGATGCAGGTTACAAATATAAATAAAAAATAATACTCCGTTATGCTAAGCCAACTCATTTTAAAGCTTTTATGAAATTAATGTTGAACCAGGAAGCTGTACAAAAATGGCCTCAATCTCTGGAAACTGGGACGGGGTAAGTAATGTTAAAACAAACAGTAAAAAAAATGTCCTTTACGTCTTAATCAAGTAATGGAGTGACGCGTCGTGTTCGATTCATATCTGTACCTTTAATTCAACGTCTGATCAATGTTTAATGAGATATTCCTATTTTTGTGTTTGAAAATTGACTGTTATTAATTTTAGATCATCTATATAAGTATAAAAGACCGCAGATACATTGAAAGAGATTTTCATACCATTTACATTAAGGAACATTACGCTTTAGAAGTCCCTTTATAATAAACTCTATTTCAGGATTGCTGAAACAGATGGAAGGTTTTTTGAAAATTTTGCCACCTTGATAAACGATTGGGTGGAGAGAGATAAACACAATGATGAAAAGGTAGCTTTATACTATTTACACTGGTAGAAAACACAATTCGAAGTTAAGAATATTTTGTTCGAAATAATGAACAGAATTAATTAACATTCTGTTTTCGGTAAGTTAAGATATTAAAAACAAAATTGATTTATTGAAAAATTGAAATGTTTCAATTAAAAATGTCAATTTTAAAATTCCTTCATTCGATTCTTCACTCTTGTGTTGATAAAATAAACTACAAGAGTCATGAGGTCGCCATTTTGGAACCTTAATTTCTCTTGAGATTAGACTGGTCAATTCGCATGCAACAAACAAATTTATCAAAAATATTTTTTAACACACTAAATAGGATTATTGTTAACATGAAACAAATTGACAAATTAGATAAAAGAAAATTGTAATTCAGAAAGATTAATAGTTTACGTCTTTTTAAATTTTTTAGCTAAATGTATTCTTGGCCCATTAGCGTTTCGTCTCTTTTAATCAAAACGGCTGAACCCAATTGAACCAATCTTTTTTTGAACATCATGTGGCTTCAGAGGGAGTTTTTGGTCGGTCAAGATTAAAAAGAATTACCCAAAACAAATATTGTAATTTTTTTTGAGTTTTTTCGTAATTATTTCACAATGAGAAATAAATCCAAAGTTTTTTAAAAATTGTCCACCAGCCTGACATTAAAAACAAAATGGTAAATTATCATTATTTCAGGAGGGCGAGGATGAAAACAAGCTGTATGAAGATCTCTGCTACCCTTCTCCGAAAATTGCATTTTCTCTTCCAAAACCCGAGGTAATGATCATTATTCAGGAGGTGTTGGGATTTTAAAATTGTTAGCCCCAGGCATAAGACAGGTTTTTACGATAAACATTAAAATTGAGAGACAAAGGAACTGAGTTTTTGCCACAAACTCTGATTTTCATATCGTTATTTCAATGCAACCCAATGTCATAGACGTTTGATATTTCAAACTATGAATTCTGTTAGATCAAATAATTTGAGTTTGAAATATCAAAGGTTTAGACCATGACGTTGCAAAGATAAAGGGACTAAAAAATTTGAGTTTGTGGCAATAACTCAATTCCTTTGTTTTCTTTTTATTTATATGCTATGTGAAAATAAATATTTTTATACCTGGATTTTCTAAATGTGGAACGTGTCTATCCGTAAATAAAAACAACTACTTTTTGTCCAGATTTAAACTATAAAAGGAATTGAGTTTTTACCACAAAGTCAAACTTTCTAATGCCTATATCTGTGCAACCTGATAGTTTAAACATTTTATATTTCAAACTTAGACACTTTGATCTAACAGAATTCATAGTTTGAAATATCAAGGGTCTACAACATCGGGTTGTACAGATATAGAGATTCGAAAATCAGAGTTTGTGACAAAAACTCAGTTCCTGTGTCAAAAGTTTTCTATACAAATATTTCAAATCTTCATTAACTTTGAAATATAAAAAAGTGCTGCCACATTTCTAAAAGATCAAAAAAAATGTATCAATTTTTATAATACCTTGTTTTATCATAGCATAACCAATAGGTAAAGAAAAACGGATTTTTAACTCAGCTCTGTATTAGAATTAAAAATAAGCATTTTTATATTTTTAGTTGGAGCAGTTATATGTAGAGGTACTGTACACCATTCAACATAAATTAGGAGCTAATAGGTATGGACTATGTATTGTTAGATGTATTAGATGTATGTACACAATTAGATTTATGTACACAATTAGATTTATGTACACAATTAGATTTATGTACACAATTAGATTTATGTACACAATTTATTAAGCTAAAAATCACCAACCGATTCTTTTAACCAACAAAACAAACAACTCTCATTCTTTAAAGTTAAGATTTATATCTTTCCACCAATCAATCAATAAATTCCTCCTATGGTCTTTCCACTAATCAATCAATAAATCCCTCCTATGGTCTATCTACTAATCAATCAATAAATCCCTCCAATAATCTATCTACTAATTAATCAATAAATCACTCCTATGGTCTATCTACTAATCAATAAATAAATCCCTCCAAATGGTTTTTCTACTAATCAATCAATAAATCCCTCCAAATGGTCTATCTCCTAATCAATCAGTAAATCCCTCCAATGGTCTATCTACTAATCAATCAATAAATCCCTCCAATGGTCTATCTACTAATCAATCAATAAATCCCTCCTATGGTCTTTCCACTAATCAATCAATGAATCCCTCCAATGGTTTTTCTACTAATTAATCAATAAATCCCTCCAATGGTCTATCTAATAATCAATCAATAAATCCCCCGATGGTCTATCTACTAATCAATCAATAAATCCCTCCGATGGTCTATCTACTAATCAATAGATAAATCCCTCCAACAGTCTATACACTAATCATTAAATAAATCCCTTCAATGGTCTATCTATTAATCAATCAATAAATCTATCCAATGGTCTATCTACTAATCATTCAATAAATCCATCAAAGAGTGTACCCACTAATATATCAATAAAACCCTCCAAGAGTCTATGCACTAATCCACCCATAAATCCCTCAAACAGTCTACCCACTAATCAATCAATCCCCCAATAGTCTATCAAACTAATCCATCAATAAATCCCTTAAACAGTCTATCCACTAATCTATAAACCTCTCCAACAGTCATATATCCACTAATCAATCTATCAATTCCTCCGACATTCTATCCACTAACCAAGCAATCAATCAATCAATCCCTCCAACAGTCTATTCACTAATCAATCTATCTTCAATTTCCTAATTTAATTATTACTGAAAGCAAATAGATTGGGTTTCTCAATTAAGATAAGAAGCTTTTGAGAAAAGAAGATTACATCAATTAGTTATTAATCAAGGGAACCGTCTTTTCAAAATTTAGTCAAAATTAATTTTTCTTTAAGTCGTAAAACTTTTGATCCTTTCAAACTTAAGATTTATTTCACCCCATTACATCGATTAATTGAGAGTTAAAACACTTCTAGATGTATTTATTTTAAAAAGATTGACGTTTATGTTTTGTAAAGGAGAGAAGTGCATTTTTTCACTTTTTTAATCCAAGGTGATTTTTAAACAAACGTAACTTACAATCTAGCTTAAATACCCATAATTGGATTGTTAACTTGGTAAACAGTTTTGCTCTTTTTTTTATAAAAGAACTGTAAGTTTTTTTCTTTCTTAACAGGGAAAGATAAGGTTACTAGCTGCTATATTCCAGTGTTAAGTTGTTCCTGGTCCTGGAGAACACTATAGTTTTAGAGTTTTTAGACGGTCAACATTTTGACGGTCCTCAAACATCCACTGGGGTCCATGAGAGATCGGTTCATCTTTTAGACGTTAATAGGGTTCAAACTGACACACAAGCCAAATATTAACTGTAGTATAGAGATACTTTCAAATAAAGGATTTGAGTTTTTGCAGCAAACTCAGATTTTCTAACCCCTATATCCTTGCAACCTAATGTCGTAGACTTTAGATATTTCAAACTATAAATCCTGTAAGATCAATTAAGCTAAGTTGTTTGAAATATCACAGGGTTACACCATCAGGATTCAAAGCTATGGGAATAAGAAAATTTAAGTTTGTGACAAAAACTCAATTCCTTTGTTTTTTTTTACTTAGGTTTTTTTCTTATTTTGATATTTTATTTAATATTATTATTTTATCAAAACATTTATCTTGCTGTTCCTCATAATATATATACCTATATATTGTGTAATACTGATAGGAAATGATTAGTCTATTATACAGAAATTATCTCTACACAAAACAACCAATCTAATCTCAATATTATTTCCTTTTCTACTAGAAAAATAAGATTCACTTTTCCCCTGGGTCTTAAGAAATGAACAGTGAGCTTTATTCAGCACGCTCTCATGAAAATATCTATCAGGATTTGGCCAATTACTCCTTTTAATGTAATTCTAGAAACAAGCGTGATGCAGTTTTGAATTTACAATGTCTATAATAGTACTACAAAAAAAGTATGAGGCCATGGCGACGACACACTTCAAATTATACCCGGTCTGGATCTATTTGATTTTAGTTAAAGGAAATGAGTTTTCGCCACAAAATCTCACTTTTTTACCTTACATCTTAGCAACCCAATGTCTGTATACCTCTAATATATCATATTTTGAATTCTATTAGATCAAATAGTTTCAGTTTGAAAAATCATTGGTTTACAGCATCAGGTTGCAAAGATATAGGAATTATACAATTTGAGTTTGAGGCAAAAACTCAATTCCTTTATTCGAAACCATAAATCTCAATCATGTAAAATTATATCAGATTTTAGATTTATGGAGTATATGCAATTGTGATCTGTGAACTGCAATTGTGATGTTATTTTGAGATATTGTTGCTATTTTTTTTATGAATTTTCGAGATTTCTCTTTATTTTTGAGGACATTACTTGATTCGCCTCCAGTAGTTATCGAAAAGAAAAAATATTTTAATTTACATAAACAATTAATATTTCATTAAATAAATTCTGAATATTTTTAGTTTCCAGTTTACCCAGATACAAGATGAACTGCTAGCGTATGCGAAGGTATTTTTATAATTTCATTTTGGTCATTGTATTTTTCACCAATTTTGGATTGAAATATTACTTCCCAAATTGTTTTAGATATCATATATAAAATATTAGTTTCAGCATTTTTTTTATATTTAAGAATATAACACCCGGATTTTCTAAGCATATAGTTGCATATATTATACACATTTAAAAATAACTTTTTATAACTTAATTTATAACTTTATGATATAAGTAGACATGCTAAAACAAAGTTTTTCTTACAAAATATTTACTTTTTCTCATCTTTACAATTTTGAAGAAAGAACAGAACTGATTACTCACCCCAGACTCTAATTTGCTGATATCTATATTTGCAACTTAAAGCTGTTTTATGTTTCAAAGGTTGACTATTTGAGCAGGTTTTATAGTTTTAAAAAATGAAAAGTTTACGACATCGCGTTGAAAAGTTATGGTATAAACTCATTACTTTTCAGAACTTTTTAAATTTATAGGTTGTGACTTTTTTATCTTTATCTAATTTATCTTTAAACTAAATCAAAATTTATGGCTTTCTTAATTAATTATAATTATCTAATTTAACTAATTTTTTTAGTTCTTTATCTTTATCTAACTTATCTAATTCAGGATGCATTCGGCGTGAATCAAAAACTGCATGTACAGTTAGTTAATGTTGCAGGAGATGTAAAGGTATATCTTATATTTCAATGCTCTGTAAGGATATTATTTTATTTTATTATCCCTTGAAATTTACTTTATTATCCCTTGAAATTTCCCTTGTTATCCCTTGAAATATACTTGACGCAATCTGGATATGAGATGCTAGGGGTTGAATTAACTTAGAATGACTTAAAACTGGGTTATATTCTAATGTTCCTCATATTAAAACAGTTTTATTCACTCGTTTTGTACAATTTGTGACCAGTTTATCAAATTGTCATAAGCTATATGTATTCGACTTTTAGTAGATCTAAGTAAACAGGATCTAAGAACTGTTTTACGTAAAAATCTTGAATCTATTGCACAAGATTGTAATGTACAATCTAGAAATCTAAACAAATTTTGCGTGAAACAAAATATGATATACAATCATATTCCTTTAGACCAAGAATGGAAATTACCAATTCTTCATGAATTACTTAAAGTTAAAGAAGATAATTTTGTTCTAAACAACTTTGATGATAATGAGATCGCAACCATGATCAAATTTTTATGTTCCGACTAGAAACTATATTTATATATTATACTTTATTCTTGTTTTTGTCTTATCATATTCTACCATTTTACCTTTGTGTACGAAATAGATCTATAATAATAATTTAGATATTATTCTTATATTTTTTTTCATTGCACATAGATTTGATCTAATGCAATTTAGGCTGAATGTTCAACCGTTCTAAATTTTCATTCTTTTTGAGTTCCTTTATCAGCATTATATCTTTGCAACCCAATGCCATAGACCTTTGGTATTTCAAATTTTGAATTATTTTAGGAAAAATAGTCAAAGATTCCAAATATATTGAAAATTAGAGTTCGTGGCAAAGAACTCAGTTTCAATTTGATTTGTAGAAACCAGCTTCAAACATTTTTCTCTTCGTATACTTTTTAAAATGATTTTTTATCAACAATTTTATTTGTTTCAGCCTCCAATAGTCATCCTAAACGTTCTCGTGATAGAGGCTGAAAACCTCGAGGCCAAAGATCCAAATGGTTTCAGGTAAAAACAAAAATATACATTTGAATACTGATGATATTTCATTGTTTTTTCAACAATCTTTTTACCAGACGTACAGAATTTTTGTGTAGTATAAATCTTTCAATTAACTTATGAATAACTACGATTAGTTTTATTCCTCTTCGATATTCATTGTCATGAACAACTTTAATTGTGGAATAAAGCATTCATTTTTACAAAATGGATCCTAAAGAAATAAATTTTAAATCTGTTTATTAATATTTACTGATATTTGGCTTTAAGTATGTATATTGTATAAACTAAAGGTTTGTTATTATATTTTCCAAGAAATATTCTGATTATGCTGTTTATACATTTTTCAATTATTCTCAACAAGTTTAGGAAATTTTGTAAATCTAGTTTCAAGAAACATTGAAAGGATATTTTGAAGAATTTAATGGTTAATGAGCTTTTATCTATCTATCTATCTATCTATCTATCTATCTATCTATCTATCTATCTATCTATCTATCTATCTATCTATCTATCTATCTATTTATCTATCTATCTATCTATATATCTATCTATCTATCTATCTATCTATTTATCTATCTATCTATCTATCTAGCAATATGTTTAGTGATCCCTACTGTATGCTGGGTATACGACCAGGGTCCAATTTTCCTGGATTACAGGTTAACATTTTGAACTTCCATACCACCGGTTCAAATTTTAATCACAGATTCATATCCTTCCTTCAAGGGAGGGACCGGCTAGACTTGGTAGTTGAGCTGAAGGATTAAGAGAAAAACTTTAGGATTCATTTGATACCAATCGGTCAGACGTTTTTACAGTGTACAATTTTTTAAATAAGAGATTAAACTCGTTTGTAATATTTCACCAGTTGTTTCAGTCAGCAGAAACATTTTATTATTTAATAACCCATGTTATTTAAGAATTTTAATTTCCAATTCAAATTCTTCCGTAATCTTTAACATTGAATCGGTGGTTCAAATTTGAACCGGCAGTAACCAATTCACTAAGATTCATTAAACTCGGTTCCTAGAAATTATTTAGCCCATGTCCATTTTTTAAAACTTATGTTCCCCAGAATAGATATTGTGTTCTTATTGTTGTTTATTTTAAATTACAAAAATTGTGGCATTTTTGTTCATTGCAGATAAGTTTTCGAAAATTTTGACAAATGAAAAAGCGTAGTCGGACATAAACTACAATAAATAAAATTAGGCCTGATTAATTGAATAGATTTGATGTTTATTGTTCCTACAAACCCATGCAGACTATAGCACACATGTTTAACGTGGACCCATAAAACTTTGGAATAGAAAGACGACTTTTTTACTAAAGTTATAATTTCAAATAATTTGCAGTACTGTACATAGCACACAACCGTTTGACTTAATAAGTTATTTAATTTAATTAATAGCAACACAAAATACACATGGAATGTACGATATATATATATATCGTACATTCCATATATATATATATATATATTTACTAGAAATTCAAGGCGCTTCGCGCCCTTCTTTCTAGCCTTAGAGGGCGCTTCGCGCCCATCTTCTAAATTAATTGTGAACATGTTCTCTTTGTGTACATCGTAAAACAAAACAAAAATAATTCGCGGATTTTCACAAAATATTTCGTGGATTTTCAAAATTTTTAAAAATTTAATGACGATCGGGGTCCCTAGATGTCCCACAAAAAATTTGGGCCCGATCGGTTCAGCCGTTTTGACGTTTATTGGATACAAACAGACAGACAGACAAACAGACAGCAGAACCCTGGGTACATGGAGACCAGACCTAGGTGCCACCAATACTTTATATATAGATATATATATATATATATATCAGTACCCTTTAAACCTTGCAGCCATCGACGACAAAGAAATCCTCCATTGTCCAACTAAAAATTGCAGAAAAACGTTAATAAACACCGTACACTACGTTCTATAAATAATTCTCAAAGATACTAAATTAATTTTCCCCTAGAAAAATAAAAATATCTCCGTCCCGGTAAAATGTTTATAAGCGTACCATTGTGAATCAAACCTGTCGGTTCTTATTAAAAATATGATATTTTAGACTTGTCAGACGAATGCTCGACCTGCTTTTAATTCTCAAATATCCATGGAAAGCAATATAGATTATTCCAGGTAAACATTTAAAGAAAGTTCCCACAATTATTATAATACACTGCTTGCGCTTGCTCTTAGATCAAACAGTCAACCGCAAAGAATGAGACTCCAGAGACGACTGTTCAGAATTCAGTTTTTTCCTTTTTTGATTTCCTGGAGTGTAAATTCCATTACTCGCCTCCAACTCTAACTTTCTAATCTCTATATATTTTCAACCCGACGATGTAATACTAAGATGATATTTTAAACTTAATTTCATCTAACAGAATCCATAGTTAGAAAATTGGCGACATCAGGCCAATTGCAAAGAATATTAAAAAATTTGAGTTTTAGACAAATTCAGTTCTATTGAGAAATATGTACTAATTTAAAAGTAAAAATGCAATTTGTATATAATTAATTATTTGTAAAACTGCATAGGTCAAATAAATTTAAAAACACGTTTTTTGCTCAAAACTAAATATATATATAATGGATGTTTTATCAATCATTTTTCACATAGTGATTGATCTGTCTACTGTGATTTTCGATTAGTCTAACATAATGTTAGGATTTCCTCTCACAATGTGTTTCATTTGTTGTAGACATGGTTCCGTTGCCTCGGAAAGTTCTGAAACTAGTGATGAGTTGGTCGCACAAGAACCCAAGATTATTAAAAAGTACACAAGGTCAGTTCTTCGCTAAACAGATAAAATAGAACATAACTCTGAACATTGTATCTTTAGTGTTTATCATTACCTCACATTATTGTAAACGCGCAAAATGCAAAATAATGCCGCAAAGTAATCAAAGCGCCAAAAACAAAGACGATTTTCAATACTGGGTTTTTTCTAGTTTCCGTGAGAAGATTGGATTTAAGAAAAAGGAATCCCCTTTACCTCGCAATAAGTTCCAGCAGAATATACATTAATAATTTAAAGGGAGTTTTCGCAAAAATGAACCCCAACTTGAATTCGGAATTGAATAGTACCAATCTTTTTATCCGATGTTTGATTAAAGGAATTGAGTCTTTGCCACAAACTCTGATTTTTAAATCCCTATATCTTAATAACCCAATGTTGTAGACCTTAGATATTTCAAACTATGACATCTGTTACATCAATCAATCAAAGTTTGAAATATCAAAAGTTTACATAATTTGGTTGTAGATATATAGGTATTAGAAAATTGGGATTTGTTGCAAAGACTCAAATCCTTTATAAAGAAATGTTAAACCCATCTTTTCCATGAGTTTCAAACAAGTTCAACATTTTTGACAAACTATTGATAAATGATAAGAAACTTTTTTTTTCTATTGTTATTTTGAAAATTTTTTAATATTTTAAAATCTCTTCCATCTTTCCATCAAACTTTAAACAACTAGATCTTATGAATTTTTTCATTAAATGTTTAAAAGTTTAATTGGGGTTCTTTGTCTTGAATAGTTCGGATTAAAGTTCAGATCAAAGGAAAAGAATAACAAAGATTTTTATATTTAAAATTTTTAAATATCACGCACGATATTTAATTTTTTTGCGAAGAATAAGATACAATTTAGGATTTTCTAGATATTTCTAAAATAAGTCTCTCTAATACGATGAAACAAAAAAATAGGTATTTCCATTTTATTGTTACAGAAATAACTTCTTACTCTTTACAATAAAGCTCTTTGCTCATTTATAAATATATGTAACGGCTAAACCGAATTTCAAATTTCAAAGGAACCTATGGGTATCTCCGGGGATTACATAGTTAAAAGATTAGACAATTTTTGAAAATCATAATTCAGTATACTAAGCTCGGATAAACGGTAGAAGTAATTGTTTGATTTTTGAATAATAGTGATAACCTGCAGGGACAACGCCAAGTTCTCGTTACGTATGAGTGATGCCTTGTAAATAAGATTGTTTATTTAATCTGTAATAAAGACATATATTCTTTATATTTGATTGTGTTGACATACAGAGTGCACTTTCATCGTTAACTTCAACCCCTGTAGAGATACGAAGGAATAGTTCAGGGTGAGTTTATTAGCTATAGTTCAAATAAAATACACATAGTATCCGAGGCCGAATTTAAAGAATTTGAGCGGCGGCTTAAATTTACGCTGCGGCTCAAATACGGTTGGTTTCACTTAAAATTGTATTCAATGTTTTAAGATGTAAGCCGGTTTTTGGCGGATTTAAAACGCGGCTCAAATTCATTAAATTCGGACACTGAAAGAGTTTGTCGACGTTATTGCAAAAAAAGTTAAATATCAAATTCAAAACAATTTCCTTTAAAACTTTTATCTGAGTAGTTGTGATCGAACTGAGATAGTCCTTTTACTTGAGAAAACGATAAAGTTTGCCAATTTCATTTCTTATCTCTACTTAACATATCCATAATTCATTTTTCTAGAAGAAAGGTAATTGAAAATGATCAATTTTCAGTAAAATTTTCTCAACTTTATTGCAAAATGTAAAAGATTATATAAAGCATATATACAACATCTTTCAGGCAGAAAAGAAAGGGTGCCTACAACATTTTTGTTCTTTAATTATTTTGGCCTAGTAAGTAATAAGGCTTAAAGGGAGTGACCGGCTATGTAAGGTAGTTGAACTGAGTATGCAGTGTTGTGGAAAACTTTTTTCGGATTCATTTGAGGCATAAATTTTTTAAAGATCTTTAAATCCTGAGTTTGAGCGCAAATTCGACGTTCAAAACTCCTACTTTGGGGATGGAATGTGGATACGTTCTCAGAATAAGTTTTTTTTTTAATTATTGAAAAAAAACGAAAAATAAACTAAAAATTATACAGTAATCTAATTGGATGGTTAGGAACATATTTCTCAAATTAAATTTGTCAAGAAATCAATGCTAAAATCGATTATTTCGTTTTCACTATTATATTGAATTTCTTGTTTTATTTGAATGTATTCGCAGATTTCTTCAAATTCTTCTTTTTCAATAATAATTATAGAAAATCTGCAGAAAATCTTTGTGAATAATGAGAAACCAGAATAAGGAGGAAATAGAAACTAATATTTGAACAAGATTACTTATTTTCGATGATATTCTGATTAATTTTTATTTTCTCAATATGTTCCTATACATGACGCCTTTAGTTTATTGTGGAACTTTTTTACATTTTATTTCGTCGTTATTTAATATTAAAAAAGACTTTAAAGATAATCCAACATGATGTGGAACGCTTGTTATTATGTTTAGGACTCAGCTTCCTGCCAAGTATATTCGAGCAACCAGCGTCAAGTCCGCTACACTTAATCCTGTATGGGAGGAGAAGTTTAAATTGTAAGTTTAATTCAATTTAAAATTTTTGGCTTTTAATGGAAAAATATACAGTTTTTAAATTTAGGGGTTGTAGTACTTGGTTAAAGAGAAAGCTTGAAANCCTATAGTCCCCCCATATAGCTTTGTCTGAAAACCAAAGCAACGAAAACCTGTTCTGTTTCTTTTCTATATTGACATTTAGAGAATTAATATTAAATTATTAATGATAAAATAGAAAACAGAAAAATATAGAAAGCAAAAACTTTGAACTGAAAATTTCTTATTAAATTTACTGTCTTGTTTTTCTGACAAAGGATCAATATAATCGCTATACGAGGTTCGTTTAAAACGTTTTATGTTATTGATTTTTTTTCAGAGGCAATGATAAAATTTTGATATACTCTATTTTAACATTGTATGCTTGATAATTTTGCTTCTTTTATATTATGCAAAATCTTTACTCCGACAAAAGATATCAACAAACTCGGGTAGTAAATTTGCCTAATGTAAAATAAGAAAACTTTTAAAAATTGGATTTTGCAATAATTTAAACATAACAGCTTCTCAAAATCAAAAAAAAACTTTGATGTGCAAACACGAACCTCAAAACAATGCTGATCCTTACATACCTCTCATAAAAATCTAATTACTGACTATACTAGACTACTGTAACTATTCTTACTTTTATTACCTTTAGCTAAATATTCAACTGTTTCTTTGTAAAATTCTGCATCCTGCATCTCAAATAATGAATAAGATTTTCTTTCAGCCTTTTAAATCACAACTAAACTTTGTGTTCTATTTGACGAGTTTGAAAGTTAGAAAAGTTCCAACTCTTTCAACCGTTTTGTGATAAGTTAGAAAGGTTTAGATTTTCCCTTTGAACTATTTCTCAACTTTCTGCAGCATTGTAATAATGGACGAAATGAAATTGGTTACAAAGAAGTGAGTTAGAAATGGTGACATACACTGCCTTAGAGTTGGTGACATACTGAGTCAGATTTGGATACGTTAAGTTAGAGTTGGTTACGGTAAGTTTAAGTTGTTTACGGTGAGTTGGAGTTGGTTACGGTGAATTAGAGTTGTTTACGGTAAGTAAGAGTTGTTTAAGGTGAGTTAGAGTTGTTTACGGTGAGTTAGAGTTGTTTACGGTAAGTAAGAGTTGTTTAAGGTGAGTTAGAGTTGTTTATGGTGAGTTAGAGTTGTTTACGGTGAGTTGGAGTTGCTAACGGTGAATTAGAGTTGTTTACGGTGAGTTTGAGTTGTTTACGGTAAGTAAAAGTTGTTTACGGTGAGTTAGAGTTGTTTACGGTGAGTTAGAGTTGTTTACGGTGAGTTGGAGTTGGTTACGGTGAATTAGAGTTGGTCACTGTGAATTAGAGTTTGTCACGGTTTAAGTTGCGTTATATTGCTTAGACATGAATAACATAAATGATAAAGATGAGTTGTTTTTTATCATCCCTTTTTTAAAAAACAAAAAGGATTTATTCATAATTAAAGTATTTTTATTATAATTTTTAATATATTTATAATTTATTTTTCATTTGTTCAGTGACCTGGATGATCAAAACACAGATTGCTTCCATCTTGATATCTGGTAATTTATATATATTTTGATCAATTTTAATCTATAATTTCAATAAACATTATCAACACCAGTAAATAAAGTTTGATTAAAACTCAAGTGAATTTTGAAACGTGATTTTGAATACTACTTTTGTTAAATATATTATAATTGAATAATAATATATTGAAAAATGATGTTCTTTAATATCCAACAAATCATTAGATTAAACTTTTATAATAGTTTCCTAAAATAGAGCTGAAGTTCTAAAATGTATTTCTTAAGTTGGGCTTCTTTATACCAGGACACATGAAAGCTCCGAGTCCAAAATAAAGGCCCCCCACCCCATCCCTTTTTCATAAGATTCTAAATACGTCCCTGCATCAGCCCCATTCCTTTTTCATAAGATCCTAAATACGTCCCTTCATCAGCCCCATCTCTTTTTAATACGATCCTAAATACGTCCCTGCATCAGCCCCATCCCTTTTTCATTAGATCCTAAATACGTCCCTGCATCAGCCCCATCCCTTTTTCATAAGATCCTAAATACGTCCCTGCATCAGCCCCATCCCTTTTTCATAAGATCCTAAATACGTCCCTGCATCAGCCCCATCCCTTTTTCATAAGATCCTAAATACGTCCCTGCATCAGCCCCATCCCTTTTTCATAAGATCCTAAATACGTCCCTGCATCAGCCCCATCCCTTTTTCATAAGATCCTAAATACGTCCCTGCATCAGCCCCATCCCTTTTTCATAAGATCCTAAATACGTCCCTGCATCAGCCCCATCCCTTTTTCATAAGATCCTAAATACGTCCCTGCATCAGCCCCATCCCTTTTTCATAAGATCCTAAATACGTCCCTGCATCAGCCCCATCCCTTTTTCATAAGANATAAAACCCAATAAAAGTCCTTGTACCATGATATCTCTGGTGTCCGACCAATATTTTCGCCCCTCCCTTTGATCATATATTTACATATATAACAGCTCAGAGTTCAACCAAAAATGTTTTCAGGGATCATGATGACGAGGAGAGTGTTATAGAAGCTGTTGGTAAACTCAACCAGGTAGGATCATGTTGGTAAACTAAACCAGGTAGATCATGTTGGTAAACTCAACCAGGTAGGATCATATTGGTAAATTCAACCAGGTAGATAATGTTTGTAAACTCAACCAGATAGGATCATGTTGGTAAACTCAACCAGGTAGGATCATGTTGGTAAATTCAACCAGGTAGGATCATGTTGGTAAACTCAACCAGGTAGATATCATGTTGGTAAATTCAACCAGACAGGATCATGTTGGAAAGCTCAACCAGATAGGATCATGTTGGTAAACTCAACCAGGTAGGATCATGTTGGTAAATTCAACCAGGTAGGATCATGTTGGTAAGCTCAACCAGATAGGATCATGTTGGTAAACTCAACCAGGTAGGATAATGTTGGTAAACTAAACCAGATAGGATCATGTTGGTAAACTCAACAAGGTAGGATCATGTTGGTAAATTCAACCAGGTAGGACCATGTTGGTAAACTCAACCAGGTAAAAAACCGTATAGCAAAGATATTCTCATTTAAAAAGAAACTGAGTTCATGCCAGAAAGTTTTCAATTCCTTTATCTTTGCAACCTGAAGTAAAGAGAACCTTAACATCATTTTTTTTTCAAAAACCTCTAATTTCCTGATCCCTAAATCTACGCATTCTGATGTTGTAGACTCTTAATATTTCAAACAATTCATTCTGTTAGATCTAATTGCCTAATTTTAAAATATAAATATATGAAAGGTTTACACCACCAGATTTCAAAGATATAGGATTAGAAAATTATATTTTTGGCAAAAATAAAAGATAAATATTTAGGTGAAGGGAGTAAAAGGAATGCGAAGATTCTTTAAACAGATCGCACAGTCAGCCAGGAACATATAATAATAGCAATTCGAGAAAACAAGAAACAATCCATTTTTGAGTTTTTAAAAGATTAAATATGAGCACCACAAATTTTGCAATTTTGATGAATATACAAATATATGATTTTAATTTTCATAATAAAAAAAAAAAAAATAAAACAAGGATTCATAGATTTAATGAATTCAATCGTAATTGTGTCAATTATATTCTTTAATTTGGAGGTCAAAATTTTCTATGATAATGCACTAGTTTACAACAGCTGAACGGAAATTTTAAATTTAAAGCCGTGACAAGCACTGCTAACTCACTCACATTTTCCCAAAAATTTGTTTGTGGTTTCATTAATTTAATTCGCCAGATTACAAAAGTAATTAATTATCTAAAGAGAGTAATGATAAAACACAATTAAACTGTGCACGATTCCTTTATTTTTTTTAAAATCTGACGCTGATTTTCATTTACCTTTGATTTAACAAACCATTCCTAATAAGATGCGTTTCCGCTAAACTATTCTAAGCATTCTTACTTGCGAATTTGATTTTCTAATTTAAAGTAAACTAGTATCAAGTATGCAGCCTGCAGGAAGAAAATAGAAGAAAGTAGAAAATAAATAAAGTATAATTGTTACGTAAAACTAACATACAAGAAAGTACTTATTGTCTGTATTTGATTATTTCCAATCATCTTTGGATCTTTCATTCCAAGACCGGAAATACTTGATAAATAATCTAACAAAAAGTATGAAATACAAAATACAAAAAATTTACTTTTAATTGGTGGAAATGGGTTGTAAGGTTAAGATTCATTTAACTAGGACCTTTAGTTTACCGTGGTGCAGAATCTTTTCAAGCTAGATCCACTAGGACCTCTAGTTTACCGTGGTGCAGCATCTTTTCAAGTAAAATCCACTAGGGCATCTAGTTTACCGTGGTGCAGCATCTTTTCAAGTAAAATCCACTAGGGCATCCAGTTTACCGTGGTGCAGCATCTTTTCAAACTAAATCCACTAGGACCTCTAGTTTACCGTGGTGCAGCAACTTTTCAAGCTAGATCCACTAGGGCCTCTAGTTTACCGTGGTGCAGCATCTTTTCAATCTAAATCCAGTATTATTATGTTTTGAAAACAGAGGCTCCGATCAAGACGACTTCCTGGGCTGTATAACCTTGGCAGTACAGGTGCAATACACTTACACTTTACAATTAGTAAACAGTACATGTGCAGTACGCTTACTCTTTGCAATTTGAAAATAGTACAAGTGCAGTACACTTACACTTTACAATTAGTAAACAGTACAAGTGCAGCGCACTTACACTTTACAATTTGTAAACAGTACAAGTGCAGTACACTTACACTTTACAATTTGAAAACAGTACAGGTGCAGTACACTTACAATTTACAATTTGTAAACAGTACAAGTTCAGCACACTTACAATTTTCCAGTTTTCCAGTTTTCAACTTGTAAACAGTACATGTGTAGTACACTTACACAATATTTGTAAACAGTACAGGTGCAGTACACTTTTAATTTCCAATTTGTAAACAGTAAATGTGCAGTACACTTACACAATATTTGTAAACAGTACAGGTGCAATACACTTTTAATTTCCAATTTGTAAACAGTAAATGTGCAGTACACTTGCACTTTAATATTTGTAAACAGTACAGGTGCAGTACACTTTCAGTTTCCAATTTGTAACGAAACCCCTAGGGCACAGAGCAAAAAATAAATGTCGAGAAAAACATAAAAAAAAATTCCTCTGTATAACATTTTTCAGTCCCTGAAATGGAGTCAAAAACAAAAAATGTTGATTAGCAGTCGAATTTTTTGTCGCATTGTTATCAAACGAATCCTAAAAGTGTTCTCATTTAGACTGCACTTAATTCCTTACCATAGCCGGTCTCTCCCTTTAAGGAAATTCTTGATCTGTTGAAATCCCTTTATAGAGAAACTGAACAACAAATTCATATATCTTTGCAACTTGATGGTTTCATATTTTGATATTTCTATCAATATCAAAGGTCTATGATATTATGTTGTAAGGAAATCCGGATTAGAAAATTAGAGTATGAGGCATGTGTTCAGTTTCTGGTTCATCTGTGAGTGAGAAATATTGAAAACAAATTGATAATATCAATCTAAGAAAAATGATGAGAAAACCTTATCCAATTTTGGTAGAAAAGAAAAGAATCCTGCAAGTTTATTCGCTTCAAAAGTGATTGCTTTTTCAACTTCTTCTTCTCATTGCCAAAATTCAGAAATTAATTTTGTAATGTAAATTGCACAAATTTCAAAAATTGTTTCAAATTTTTCTTGATAACTCTTTTTAACTAATGACACCATTCATTCTTCAAACCTTTGTTACTTTATTAATTTTATAACTCTGTTTAATAAGAACAAATTTCGAAATGATTGTGACTAAATACAATGCTGAAATTGAGCATTTTCTTTGGATAAAGATTTATAAGAAAACAAAAATCTTTCTATCGATTTCAGCACAATGGGACAAAATCTAGAATTTTTTTTAAAGCCTAGACTAATGATTATTTATTAAGGATATACCAAGTACAGGCCTGGACACATGGTACAAGCTGGCCGGCAGGTCTCTCAGGTCCCAGGTAAAATATATTACTCTATGCCATTAGGGAGCTTCGTGACAATCGCTTAAATATTGCCTTCCATCTTTTTTTTACACATTATGAAATTTTTGAGGGAACTCGAGGGTGACATAGGGCCAGGGCCAGGGCTTATTATGGTTTAAATAATTGATTTGGTGACTGATTGATTAATTGATTGATTATTAGAAGTCAGTATTGATGATTTTTTTTTTATAAATTATAAAACCAACTTTGCATATTTCCGCAGAAATGTCAGAATATTATAGAAAGAAATCTGTTTCCAGTTCAGAAACTAGCAATGTTTTATATTTTAGAAAAGCTAATTTGTTTCTGTAAAACAAGCATAATCAACCTGACAAAAAAGAGTTTGCTCTGTGCAAAATAGTAAAAAGAAATACTTGAAACAACACTAAACTTTACATTCAAATTTTAGAATTTTGTTTTATGAATATTTTTTAATAATTACAAAATGGTGAAGAGAAAGGGGAGATATGAAAACTTGAAATTTGTCTAAAAGTATATTTTCTAAAAACTTGAAAAACAAAAATAGATTAATAACAAATATCACCAGGCGTACTGCAACTAAAATACCGTATAGTTCATCTATGGTTTACTAATGTACTGCGCATTGTTTACTTCTTGTGATGACCGCCGCACCCCTTGCCGTAGCTGTCCTGTCCAAATCCGTGTTTACATTTACAATAATCACAATGGCAATATTCTCCCTCCATGCTTCCATAGCAATACTTCTTTCCTGAAAATTTATTTATTAATGCATGGTGATCTCATGATGGGTTAAAAAAAGCGAGTTCTTGCCACACACTCGGGTTTTTTATTTGCTATGTCATCAGGAATCAAAGATAAAGGGATTGGAAAATTTTAGTTTGTGGTAAGAACTCAGTTCCTTTATGAATTAAGTAAGAGCGAAGAGAGTGAATAAAGAAAATGGATATTTCCGTCTCCAATTCTTTTTGGAATTGAAAATCATTTTTTATTGTTTATAAAAGTCAAAGAATAATCATATACTCGCAAAAAAGTGTTCTAAAAAATCACTTTTTTAATGTCGTATTTTTGATTATGTATTTAAATAGAGCCAATCATGGGGTGGAACAAATTTCAGATTAGTACGAGAGTAGGGCTGGGCCGGTACAAATTTAGTAGAGCAGTCCCAATCCCAAGCCTTGACTTTCATAGATGGGAGTGCCTTTATATCTTTTATCATTCTTAGGGTAAAATTTATTAAAGGGGAGAGGATACCTAGGGATCAGGGGGGAAGGAGGGTAGATATACTTACCATATCCTCCTCCACTGCCATGTCCATATCCTGAGCAATGGAGCTGTCCATGTTCACATTTACAGTAATGGCATTGACAGTAGGAGCCCTTCACAATACAGGCTGTACCAGATCCTACACTGCTGTGCCCTGTACAGTAAACGGTTTCAGAGTACAATTTATTAAAAAGGACATGTCGGATTCACAACGGTATTTTTTAACCCTTTTTTAATCAGTGAAAGTGAAAGATATTCTTATTTTCCTCGCTTGAACAGGCTTAATTCTGAAACTCCAATTGAAAATGCTCAATTTTCAAAGTTAAAAACATGGAAATCTAATTATTTTTACACAAACTAACTTTTTAAGGAAATATCATTGCGAATCGAAAATGCAACTCAAGACATGGAGAGTCACTTACAATTACGTTGACAGTACTTTTTTAATATAAATGGTCAAAATATACGATTGTTTCATGGGATAAAGTATAATATGACATGTTATAATAAGAACATTACATATATAAATAGATCCGATTCTAAAGGAATTGAGTCTTTGTAACAAAATCAAATATTTAAACCCCAATATCTTTAGAACCCGATGTTGTAAACCTTTGATATTTCAAACTCTGATTATTTGATTTAACAGAATTCATAGTTTGAAATATGTAAGGTCTACAACATTTGGTTCCAAAAAATTAGTGATTAGAAAATCAGAGTTTGTGACAAAGACTCAATTCCTTTATACCATAATTTTCCATCTTTTATATGGAAAACTATTTTACCGAAAACTTCTTAATTTGTAAATAAAGTAATATTTTTTATTATTATTTCTACGACTTGATAAACAAATCAAAAAGTTATTACACTTACATCAATATAAGTTTGTATGTACATATTGTACAGCTAGTAAGGTTGTAAATGTAAAGTTTAAAGATATTTTCTAATAATAAAAATAAAAATATTAATACATTTTTACAATAATTAATATTTCTATATAATGGAAACGCATACAAAGCAAATAGTTCTTTATATTGTTACATAATAAATACAAGCAAAATAGCTTTAGCAAAATAGCATTAATATTAAGTCACGTCGATTTAGAAACATAAAGAGAGCTAAAGGAACTAGTTCCATTAACCCTTCTGTTAATATTATGCATGGCACATTCTCAAGGGTATTCTATAAACCATCATCCGAGCAAGAATGAGTAAGATTTTGTCGTTTCTCAGAATAATGGTGAATTCTAATAACTTCAATTCACTGAAAACTCAATTATTAGATAGAAAAATATGGGTATCTCATTCATCCCTAATACGACAAAGATTTTAATGCTACAGTTCTATAAGCTACTCTATGAAGGTTCAATTGAAAACATTTTTTTGTTTACATGTAAATTATTTGTCTCACGTCAAAATAAGGTTTAGTAAAGTTAGATACGTTCACGATTTGGGAAAAGGTTTAAAATATTTTTTTCCTAAATATTTTCGTTTAAAATGGTTTACCGTGTCCCCCTCCATATCCATCAGCTTGAGCTGCAGGGAGCAGGACAACTAGGACAGCAGAACAGAGGAGAACAGGGAACACGAGTTGCATCTTTCAGTAAACCAATAGTTGCACTTAGATATATATCTGTTGGATATCTTTTGGATAACTGTTAGATATCTGATGGATATCTGTTGGATATCTGTAAGATAGCTGATGGATATCTGTTGGATATCTATTGGATATCTGATGGATATCTGATGGATATCTGATGGATATCTGATGGATATCTGTTGGATACCTGATGGTTATCTGTTGGATATCTGATGGATATCTGTTGGATATCATTTCCTTTACAGCCATCCAAACCCCTCAATATTTGGTAGAATTAATAAAAATACAGCTTTTGAAATTTTAATTTCTCATTTTTTAATAAGAAAACAACTTTGCAGAATTTATTTTTAGATTTAGCTTGGCTAGACTTTTAATTAAAAATATGGTTCTTTTAAGAACTTAAATATTTGATATGGTGTTCAGACTTTGCAAATTTAAATATTTAATCAGAGAATACATTCCAACTTGCTTCTAGGCGTTTGAAACTTTTTGCTAATATCAATGGGAAATAATTGAAAAATCTGTATAATTGAAAAGGGAATTGAGCCTTTGTCACAAACTCAAATTTACGTACGCCTATTTCTTTACAACCTGATGGATGGTTGGTCATTTCAAACTTTGACTTACCGATCTAAAAGAATTAAAAGTTTGAAATATCAAAGGCGTATTTTCTAACGTATTGGGATAAGAAAACTCAATTACTTTAATTTTCAAATATTTGAATTTTGACGTACCTTTGATATTTTTAAACGAATAATTCTGTTAGATTTGATATTCAAAATTTGAAATTTCAAAAGTTTTCGTCTTAAGGATGTATAACAATAAGAAAATATTGATGCAATATACTATTAAACCTTTTGCCAGATAAACAAAATTATATTTTCTAAATTTTAAAGTTTTAATTTAATTTTAAATTCTATTTCTCAGGTTTTGAAAACTTTTCCCTTTTATAATATAAACTTTAACAGTGTTCTGTACATTTGTGTAAACACTTCACGATTGTACTGTTCTAGAGTACCTGTACATACATGTACAGGTCTAAATCTAGAAAAGGGTCTAACTATTGGTTTCCTTGCAGATTGTAGGATGTCAATGATTATAATTGAACTGGTGAGTGAGAGAGTAATCAGTTCTTTTATACTTAATCCTTGAAGAATTTCATTTATTCATCTTAATCCAAACCGACGGAAATTTTCGGAGGAAAAAAAATTCTTTCTAAAAAAAGATATTTTTACTAAAATTAATATTTTAAAAAAGTGTTCCGAAGTTGTATTCACCCCTGTGGTTAAGATATACAGGTCAGGGAATGATGCTGGTTTTATTCTTCTAATTAACAAGAATCATACTTCCGTTCTTGTTCCTTACTCTACAGATATATCACGTAAAAGGACTACTTACTAAATAAAACATTTTATATTTTACTTGCTTACTTTCTTCCGTTCTTGTTACTTACTTCTTTTCTTGTTACTTACTTCCCGTCTTGTTAATTACTTCCGTTCTTGTTCCTTACTCTATAGATATATCAAGTTAAAGGGACTACTTACTAAATAAAACATTTTATATTTTACTTGCTTACTTTCTTCCGTTCTTGTTACTTACTTCTTTTCTTGTTACTTACTTCCCGTCTTGTTAATTACTTCCGTTCTTGTTACTTACTCTCGTTCTTGTTAATTACTTCCGTTCTTGTTACTTACTTTCGTTCTTGTTAATTACTTCCGTTTTTGTTCCTTACTATATATGCGGTTCAGAAGACATTGTATTGAACCACATTTAATTTAAGTATAAATTCTTGCTCCTAGTCTTCTTTATTTTTTAAAACTCTTAGTAAAACTTTCCAACATTTCAAAACTGTTTTATTTGTATAGTTTTCAAACTTTTTGCATTGTTTTTTCTTATTTTCTTTCAGGGTCAGAATTCGACGTAATAAAAGGAAAGCAAATGTTAAGTAAATACAATTTTGTTTCGCCGTTCATGCATGGTTGAGAAACGGCTGCTGGTGTTTTAAACTGACAAATCATTCAAGGATTTTGTTTTTCGTAAATATCTTAGAAACTTTACAATATCGTTAATAAAACAACCGTTCCTCACCTTAAAAACTGAAACCACTCAAGTTATGACTTTAAACATTCAATGAACATGAGACTTGGAAATTGTGCAGTGTAAACAGACCTATCTCACTTAATACGTGATTTAATAACTTACTAGTAAAAATATTGCTTTGTAATTTTGTCTTGCAATTCGACAGTTTTCTGGTTCTCACTGTATATATATATATATATATATATATATATGTTTTATTTAATTATTCTATTCAAAATATCTTTCATCCATTTTCTTGATCATCGCACTTTCTCTTTCATTAATTAAACTTCGCTTCGCGTATCTTTTCCAGTACACATTTTGAATTATAAAAATTTACAAATTGAAATTTTGCTGGGTGCATGTGAGATACTGCAACAAATTTGGGCCAGATAAGTCAATTATTGGAAAGCAAAGTTACCACCCGACTAACTAGCCAAATATATATACAATTACAAGCATAGATAAAAAAGTGGAGAATATAGGTTTGAAATGACTTTACTACCTCTGAAATATCTGTATAATATCTCTGTAAACCACTAAATTATATTATTTTTTGTAATAATAACTGATTATCCTGTTTAAGGTTCAAGGATCTATTCATCTAAAAATATGGCTGTCCTCACGAGAAGACAGGTACGTAAAGGGACCGTAATCGTAATTTCATGTGACCTTCCATTTAAAGAGAGGAGCATCTCCTATTCATAACGGTACTATTTAAATCTTTGAGTGATCAAGGATATTCCTATTAATCTACGGAAGTGCTTTTAATTGCTTAACACTTTGTTTCCACGCCATAAGCCATATAAGCCATTAAACACAAATATCCCCCTAATACATGAACGTAGTGTAAGGATTCAAGGGTATTGCACTTTGCATGAAGGGTCACTGAAATTACGCTAACAGACCCTTTAAAGAGATTATTCACTCTTTTCTAAAATATCCTGATTTGTTTTACTTCGAATCCCAGCTATCCACTGCACAACTAACCTCTCTAAAATGTTTATTTATGAAAACAATGCTGCGTATCTGAAAAAATGAAAAATTTAAAGCTTCATAATAAGTTTTTAAAGGAAGTGTTCGCTAAAAAAATGAAAGGGGTTTATAATTTAATGGCTACTAAGCATACTTCTATCTGTTACGTCTATAAGGAGAATATTGTTAAAAACGACTTTTACTGAAGAACGAAGCGTCCATGCAATTTCAGAAAGTTGCAATATACGACTCGGATCACGTAAAAAAGTCAATTTAATTTCAAACAAATTATAAAGATATTTTACAACCTATAGTCATCGATTTTTTTTCGACGCATTCGTATATAGTTAATATTTCATAATTTTTTTTATACATTTTGTATACAATGCAATTAAACGCAGAAATAGTTTGCCGCCAGATGTCTCTGCTCTCGATGCTATGATTAAGACTAAGTATACGTGGCAGAGACACCTAGCGGACAAAAAGTCGTTGTAAGTGCATGTTTATAAAACAAATAACAAATATTATGAAATATTAACTATAAACGAATGCGTCGAAATATAATCGATGACTTTAAGTTGTAATATCTGAATAATTTGTGTAAAATTAAAATGATTATTCTACAATATAAGTCTTATATTCCAACTTTCGGAATTTGTATGGACGTTACATTCTCCAGTATTTTTAACAATTTTCTCTTTATTGATGCAACAGATAGAATTAATATTAGAAACGTTCAAAAACGATTATTTTTCAACGTAACCCTATACCCCCTTTTAATTTTCGGAAACACTTCCTTTAATAAACTAAATATATTGCAACTTTCTGAATTTGTTACATTCTCCAGTATAAGTCATTTTTAACAATTTTCTCTTTATTGATGCAACAGATAGAATTAATATTAGAAACGTTCAAAAGGGATTATTTTTCACTGTAAGCCTATACCTCCTTTAAATTTTCGCAAACACTCCCTTTAATAAACTTAATTATTTGACGCTTTGCTTCTGGCAAGTTCCAACTTATCTACGAAACATAAACATGACATATATAAATATGGGGATCAGGAAAAAAGTCAAAGACAATTTATTTTATTTAAAATTCGGTGCTGGTCATGGACCAATTACCTTTAAAAAAAAAACACATTAAAGCAAAAGTCGAGAATGACGCGTGATACATTGCTTGAGATGAGCTTAAAAGCATATTTTTAAATAAAACTATCACTGTTAATATAAATAGTAAAAGATCTCTACGATCTCAATTTCAGAGGTTTGAGCGAAGAGGAAGATAACAAGAACGAACTTCAACAGCAATTTCATCTTTATCATATATTCATCAACCATGCTATTGCTAACCTCAAGGTACAATCCTATTCTTCAAAACTTTTAAAATTTTATCGTTCTAAACCTTTTCCTATTCTTAACATTTAACCTTCTTCTCGACTTTCAGTAAATAATATTTGATTTTGGTTAAATCCATTCTTGATTTTTTTCTAGAACTTTTGTTGAACTCTCTCTTTGACCTTTAAGTAAACTTATTCTGGACCTGTCAGTAATCTGTATTCGTTACCTTTCATTCAACTTTATACTTGACCTTTTAGTAAACTCTATTCTTGACCTTTCAGGAAACTCTATACTTGACTAATCAGTAAACTCTATTCTTGACTAATCAGTAAACTCTATTCTTGACTAATCAGTAAACTCTATTCTTGACTAATCAGTAAACTCTATACTTGACCTTCCAGGAAACTCTATTCGTGACCATTCAGTAAACTTTATTCTTGACCTTTCAGTAAACTCTATTCTTGACCTTTCAGGAAACTCTATACTTGACTAATCAGTAAACTCTATTCTTGACTAATCAGTAAACTCTATTCTTGACTAATCAGTAAACTCTATACTTGACCTTCCAGGAAACTCTATTCTTGACCTTTCAGTAAACTTTATTCTTGACCTTTCAGTAAACTTTATACTTGACCTTTCAGTAAACTCTATTCTTGACCTTTCAGTAAACTCTATTCTTGACCTTTCAATAAACGCTATCCTAGACCTTTCAGTAAACTCTATTCTTGACTAATCAGTAAACTCTATTCTTGACTAATCAGTAAACTCTATACTTGACCTTCCAGGAAACTCTATTCGTGACCTTTCAGTAAACTTTATTCTTGACCTTTCAGTAAACTCTATTCTTGACCTTTCAGTAAACTTTATTCTTGACCTTTCAGTAAACTTTATTCTGTATACCGTTCAGTAAACTCTATTCTTGAACTTTCAGTAAACTCTATTCTTGATTAATCAGTAAACTCTATTCTTGACTAATCAGTAAACTCTATTCTTGACCTTTCAGTAAACTCTATATTTGACCTTTCAGTAAACACCATTCTTGACCTTCTAGTAAACTTTATACTTAACTTTTTAGTAAACTCTATACTTAACCTTTCAGTAAACTCTATTCTTGACCTTCCAAGAACTCTATTCTTGAACTTTCAGTAAACTCTATTCTTGACCTTTCAATAAACGCTATACTAGACCTTTCAGTAAACTCTATACTTGACCTTTCTATTCTAATAATCGTTCAATATCTAAGGGTGGAATATCTGAATGGGATGGTTCTCTCTGCCAAGCAGCAAACACTATTCTTCATCAGCATGCAATACAGGGGGATATAAACAATCTGCAGGTATATAGCAGCATGCAATACAGGGGGATAAAAACAATCTGCAGGTATATAGCAGCATGCAATACAGGGGGATATACACAATCTGCAGGTATATAGCAGCATGCAATGCAGGGGGATATAAACAATCAGCAGGTATATAGCAGCATGCAATACAGGGGGATATAAACAATCTGCAGGTATATAGCAGCATGCAATACAGGGGGATATAAACAATCTGCAGGTATATAGCAGCATGCAATACAGGGGGATATACACAATCTGCAGGTATATAGCAGAATGCAATACAGGAGGATATAAACAATCTGCAGGTATATAGCAGCATGCATTACATGGGGATATAAACAATTTACAGGTATATAGCAGCATGCAATACAGGTGAATATGAACAATCTGCAGGTATATAGCAGCTTGCAATACAGGGGGATATAAACAATTTGCAGGTATATAGCAGCATGCAATACAGGGGGATATAAACAACCTGCAGGTATATAGCAGCATGCAATACAGGGGGATATAAAAAAATTTCAGGTATATAGCAGCATGCAATACAGGGGGATATAAATAACCTGCAGGTAAACAGCAGCATGCAATATAGGGGGATATAAACAACCTGCAGGTAAACATCAGCATGCAATACAGGGGGATATTAACAACCTGCAGGTAAATATCAGCATGCAATACAGGGGGATATAAACAACCTGCAGGTAAACAGCAGCATGCAATACAGGGGGATATAAACAACCTGCAGGTAAACATCAGCATGCAATACAGGGGGATATAAACAACCTGCAGGTAAACATCAGCATGCAATACAGG